GGGTTTTACCATATAGTCTTGGCTGTCCTGGAACTTGCTCTGTAGACCAGGCTGGCCTCAAACTCACAGAGATCCACCTGGCTCTGCCTCCCGAGTGCTGGGGTTAAAGGTGTGCTCCATCACTGCTGCCTGGCTCTAAACTTTTATTTTAATGTCCATTTAAAAAAATTTTTTTTTTTTTAAGTATAGGCACTTACTACCAAGCCTGGTGGCCTGAGCTTGATCCCCGAGACCCACATGGTGAAAGGAAGTTGTCCTCTGACCCCCACATGTGCCTTATAGCAAGCACATGCATGACACTGTGCTCACGCACACACCAGTATGAGAGAATTAAATACTTTCGGTTTATTTACATTTTTCTGTCCTGTTATGTCCTTTGTCTGTTACAGATAATTGGTCTTTGTCATGTAAACCGTATGTTTTTTTCCCCTAGGGCACCTTTGGTCTTATTTATAGAGTGTTTTGCTATATACACTTCTCTTATTTTGCTCATTTTCTTTAAAATGTGGGTGGTTTTGTTGTTGCTTTTTGTGGTGCTAGGATTGAAGCCTGGGCCTCACATGTGTGCTAGGCACGTGTTCTGTTCCTGAACTCTGCTCACAATTCCGAATTGCATTGGTTACAGTGAGAAAGGCTTTATTTCTAGATAATGACATTGCTTATGTTTTTTTATTTAGTTTTGTTTGTTTGTTTGTATTTGTTTTTGTTATTTTGTTTTTCGAGACAGGGTTTCTCTGTGTAGTTTTGGTTCCTGCCCTAGATCTCACTCTGTAGACCAGGCTGGCCTGGAACTCACAGAGATCCACCTGGCTCTGCCTCCTGAGTCCTGGGATTAAAGGCGTGCGCCACCACCGCCCGGCAGCTGTTTTTTTGTTTTTTAATCATTGGGCTGTCGGGGTTTTTATTCTGAATGCTACTTAAGTTTTTTTTTTTCCTCTAAAAAGAAGTTAGCCAGTTTGTTCCAGTTTGATATGAGTGTCTTTCCTTCCTCAGTTAAGTCATGTATAGAGCAAATTGCCATGATTTAGGACCTTGTAAACCTTGTGGAACCTTACAGGGTAATCTGAAACTGTACACACCTTCCAGTGTTCTTCACGTCTGTTCTATTTGTTCTTCATAGAAATACAGAAGCACTTTCTCAAAGTAAAAATAAATGTTAGCTGGTCATGGTATACACTTTTAATCCTAGCATTGGATCCAAAGATTGTCATAGACAGATCTCTGTGAGTTCCAGGTCAGCCAGGGCTATATAGTGAGACTTTATCTCAAAAAAAAAAAAAAAAAAAAAAAAAAAAGGTGTAGATTTTTAAAAAAATTGTGCATGTGTGTGTGTGCACCACAATACGTAAGTGAAGGCCAGAGAGGGGCAGTTTGTGGATTGGTTCTTTCCTTTATTTACATGGTGTCTGGGGGTGGAATCTGGGTCTCCAGCCTTGTGCAGTAAGCGCCTTGACCTGCTAAGCCATCTCACCAGCCTGTTTTTAGCAGATATTTTCCCATTGTCAATTTTTGATGACTCTAAGTTACTACTTTTTTTTGGTGCTGGAGGTCAGACCCAGGGCCCCTCACATGGTTAATCACATGCTTTACCATTAAGTTATACCCCAACTTCTCCATTTCTTTTTAAAATGTTCTGCTAGGAGAACATTTCTGGCTTGCTACTGTTTTGATTTTGGTATTGTACTGAAGAATGAGGTTAGCCTGCTTGTTGTTCTGGGGATCTGAGCAGCTGCTTACCAGATTTTTTGTTGTTGTTGTTTGTTTGATTTTTGAGACAGCGTTTCTCTGTGTAGCCCTGTCTCACTCTGTACACCAGGCTGGCATTGAACCTTTTGCCTCCTGAGAGCTGGGACTAAAGGTGTGCACCACCACTGCCCGCTGCCAGATTCTTGTGCTTTTTTTTGTTTTTGTTTTTGTTTTTTTGAGACAAGCCTGGAACTCCCTCTGTAGACCAGGCTGGCCTCGAACTCACAGAGATCTGTCTGCCTCTTCTTCCCGAGTGCTGAGATTAAAGGTGTGTGCCACCACTGCCTGGCTTGTGCTCTTCTTCATAGTCTAAGCAGAGGTGCTTCTGGGAGAAACATTTAGATCAATTAAAAAAACAACAACCGACATTTTTTATTTTGTGTATTCTGTATGGCCCAGTGTGTCTGGGCTGGGAGTGAACTTGTGTGGCACTGTAAAGTGTGAAAGTCAGAGGACAACTTGGGGAGGTCAGTTCTCACCTTCAACCGTGTGAGTCCTGGAGATTGCCCTCATGTCATCAGGCTTGGCAGGTATCCAGGCAGCCAACCTGCTGGCCCTAGGTCAAGTTTCTATACTTAGGCTGGTGTTGGGGAAACCGGTAGAGCATACCTGCAATCCCAACACTCCAGAGGCTGAGACAGGAGGATTGCTGGGAATTCAAGGTTAGCCTGTGCTACAGAGTGAGACTTTGTCTCAAAGAAGAAAAAAGTTGTTAGACTTGGTTCTTGTTAACAATCTTCTACTAAACTTTGTATTTCCTTTCTCACAGATACTTTATTACATATTGTTTCTACTTGAATATGTTCTATTAAATTTAGTTTAGAAAGTACT